AGCAGTTAATAGGTATATTAGGGTTAACTGTTTTATGTTGCACTTGGGAAAAGTCAATTGTTGGCCTAGGGGGGGGATCTCAATTACCCTGAAATGTTTGCTGTTCCTGACAAAATCATCTGTTAAAAAAAAATCTATCTGGAAAAATAAGGCCAGAAATAATGTGGAAATTAAAGCTTTTTCTTGGCCTAGTACTTTTAGTTAGCAAATTTTGCTGCAACTGAATAATGGAGTTTTGATGGTTCAGGTGTTGGTGTTGAAGGCAAAAATGGCATTCCATTGTTTTGCTGTCTTTTAGTATTCACACAATTACAGTACATGGTAAATACACACATTCAGAGAGAAAATTACTGGATAAGGTGGCTCAAATCAGAAACTTATTTAAGATGTTTTTGATACTTGTTGAAATAACTATTCTCTTGCACTTAACTGTTACGCTAAGGGAGGTATTGTGGTTATACCCAGCTGATGGTTTGCTGTACGTAGCATAATAAACAAAGCCCCCATTAAACTTGAATGTGAATATGGAGAACAGGAGAAAGTCAAAAGTCAGAGTTAAAAACAATAGTTAAAATTAATAAAACAAAATTAAAGTTACTTTAACACATGCAATACATCTGTCTTTGTACACGTAATTTATAAGTCAAAAATAACATAAGAGCATGAATACCTTAATGACCCAGACACTGACGACAACAACAAAGTACAAGTGCAGTGCTGCAAAATATAATACCTTACACCAGAACTTGATGAGTTGCCTTAGTAAGTCATCAGGAGCTAGATGTTAACCCAATGAAGCGTCTGAGCTAACTAAATTCTAATGTCTGGTTTCTGCAAGACATCTGCTGGCTTGCCTCCCAGAAGGGAAGGTGGCATGATAGCTAAACTATAGTGTCGGTTAAACAATGAGTCGGCGCCAGGTGCAGGAACCCCAAAAACATATGCACACAGAATGTTTTGCCTAATTATACACATTTTTATATCTATTTATTTTACATGTACTGTACACATAAAACATTTAAATAACGAACTCTTGCATGGACTTGGTTATCGATGATTGCTGGAGAGAAGTCACTTTCCAAATAATTAGTGTACTGTAATTTTATGACAAGAAGTTTTGAGAATCGATAAGATGCTTGTAGTCTTCAGAGGCAAATGTCTACTTAGTGATGTATATGCCGAATAAACGGCATAATGATACACACATTGGCTGATGAAAGAACTTGTTTGATGGAGATTTATGCAGGAAAACAGCCAGATGGCCTATACAAAATAGACAATTCTACCTCTGCTGTAGTCAGAGGTAGAATTGTCTCAAAGATATCCGAGATATTCAGATATCTCAAGATCTGGCAGCACTATTACATTTGACAACTGGCACACTACTTACTTACCTTCAACTGTATAATCTGCTCAACAACCACACTCGGAAGTATCAAACGTGAGATTTTTAAAGTTTTATTCAGGTGAAAACCAAGCTTCGTCGTGATAGTATTTTGGCTTTTGAGATATGTTGATTGTAGTTTCTTGCATTCCATCCACAGAGCAATAGAAAAATGGTATTTTCAGCAACATACTTCACATTGATGAAATAAACCTCGAATTTGGGGATGAAAGTAACCCAGAGATTATCTGTCTACAATTCTTGAATATTGCATTATTCCTTTCTCAGTGTCTCAAATAGTGTCAGATAAGTTTTCTGTATTTTCCTACAGAAGAATTTGATACTTTTAATACATCAACAGTGGAAGGGTAACAGAGGCATGAAATGGGTCCAGAAACTGGGTATCAGTGTTTAAGCTCAGACCATGTTGGAATATATAGCTAGAATTTTATGTAATGCTGCATGTCATTATGAAGGAATTATTTGTATGTATCGTATATACAGTATTTTTATATTTGTTACAGAATTCACGTAAATTCGTGGATTTTTCACATTAAAATACTGTACATTTAAGATGCCAGGTGTGCGATTAATTTTGCTGGCAGAATTGATATTGGGTTAGATTCCCTCCACAGGTGTTGTAAATTCTGAGATGCATTTAGGCTAATCAAAGTCAGTATGAAGTTTGACTCATAGATATGTAGTTGTTCCTGCATGGCCGTATAAATAATGGAAAAGTTGGTCTCATTGTACAGTTTGCTTCATTCTCAACTCACAATCTGGGGATCTCGGGGATCAATTCCCGGGTGGGACAGAAATGGTTGGGCATGTTTTCTTTCACCTAATGCCTCTGTTTGCATAGCATTAAGTACCTGGGATTCAGGCAATTGTTGGGGGGTTGCATCCTGGGGAGTCAGTAGTTCGAACTCTTTCCTTGATTCAAACATAAAATAAATAATATATGTAATATATATATAAAATATAATATATCTCTGACTTATGTCTCTCCCATACCCCAGACCATTTACCCTGTAAAATTATGTGAATGGTCACATTCAGTACTGTAAACATGATGGAATACAAAAAAAAATTATGCAAACCCATTTTTTTAATAGGATATGTGTACAGTATAAATATTAGTTTGAATTTAGTCTCATATTCCCCACATATGCCAAGCCTCAGTCTGGTGGCCAATTTAGTGGGTGCAAGCAACGGATCCTCAGCATACCCGGACACATTTATACATGCGTTGCCAACTCTCCTAAATTCTTTCAGTTAGTGGGTACAAGTATGTGGTGAGATTAGGCCCAAAACCTCTCCTCTCTTGACCGGATTGTACATAGCCTTCCCGGTTTGGTGCCTTCTTTTGATAATTACTTACTTACTTGACCAGATTGTTTGGTATGTAGCAGTTACCGGGCACAACTTAGAATTTATGAATTATTTTAAGCATTTTGAGTGTTTGGTCCTGCTAAAGTCTTTGGATGTATCGATAAATAGCACGTCGTTACTGTAAGGTTCGAAATCCAAATGTCATTTGGCAGACTGTTTATAATTCATTTTCTCTTACATTATTAACCTGATGTACTATGTATTCAAAATATATAAGAATAAGGCTCGGTTTCCATGTTAGGAATCGAGATATGTGTGTGGTTCGACGCTGCCTAAACAGGTTTCATATGAAGAGCATCATAGATCGACGCTGCCTAAACAGGCTTCATATGAAGAGCATCATAGATCGACGCTGCCTAAACAGGCTTCATACGAAGAGCATCATAGATCGACGCTGCCTAAACAGGCTTCATATGAAGAGCATCATAGATCAGGCTGTTATCGCGTGCGTTCCAAACGTCAAGAAAGTGTCTTACTAAACTGACTTATCCCAACCTACCACAGGACACAAACAAAAAACGCGAAATTGTTAATTTCGCGTGCCGCTAAAATGATCTAGTAAGATAATTTTTGGCCTTTGGTAAAGCATACGTCAAAATGCGACGCGTAATTAGGAGGACGAGTCGCATGGATCACTATAAACTCTAGAACTAGTCAGCGGATTTTGATGACATTTTGGTGTTCGATTATGGCCTGAGAACCTTTAGTTTATATATATATATATATATATATATATATATATATATATATATATATATATATATATATATATATATATATTGGTGTATACTGGCAGCAGGTTTTCTTTCAAACATGTTTCATTGAATATGACCGCATATTCTGTATTTATTATTTTCTGGTTTAGGGCTTCTATCCCTCTAACTATTTTCTTAGCATCAGGGCTTAATTGAAATAGGAGTTCTCCAAAACTCATTTTCGTACTTTTAAGGTGAAGAAAAGAAGTGATTTACTATAGAGTGTATTACACTTATTTGTATAATTTGCACGACGTTTCGAACCTCCATGGTTCATTCTCAAGTGAACAGATCTTACAATACTAGTTGATTTTATACCCGCATTAGGTCAGGTGATAATACAATGAAGGTGAAAACATGGGGGGATACATAAGGGATAAACATATGGGCCAATAAGCCTTCTGCAGCCCCTATGTTTATCCCTTATGTATCCCCCCATGTTTTCACCTTCATTGTATTATCACCTGACCTAATGCGGGTATAAAATCAACTAGTATTGTAAGATCTGTTCACTTGAGAATGAACCATGGAGGTTCGAAACGTCGTGCAAATTATACAAATAAGTGTAATACACTCTATAGTAAATCACTTCTTTTCTTCACCTTAAAAGTACGAAAATGAGTTTTGGAGAACTCCTATTTCAATTAAGCCCTGATGCTAAGAAAATAGTTAAAGGGATAGAAGCCCTAAACCAGAAAATAATAAATACAGAATATGCGGTCATATTCAATATATATATATATATATATATATATATATATATATATATATATATATATATATATATATATATATATATATATATATATATATATGGGGATTATTTACTGAGCTAGTTATTAAAGTTAATATAATCATTGGTGTCTAGGCTCGGGCATCTGTGCACCAGTTGATTGACGGTTGAGAGGCGGGACCAAAGAGACAAAGCTCAACCCCCGCAAGCACAACTAGGTGAGTACCTAGTATGAAAAGGGCTGGGTGATTTTTCACAGGAATTATACATGTTTACATTTTCACCATGACCCCCCCCCCCCTCACTCTTTAAGGTTAGGCTCCCCTATCATTACATTTTTATTTCCGTGGCATTTTAGGAATTGTATAGTGGCAGCTCTTGAGTCTGAACGAGTAGAAGAGAGATTAACATTCCACTGTGTTTTCCCAGAATGTATCGTCGGATGTGGACTAGTTCCTTATCATGGCATGCTTTGCATCTCCATCCTCTTAGAGTTGCAGGTTAGCTACTTAGTCGTGGTGTATGGGGGGTGGGGGGAGGTTTATTTGTAGCTTCCATAAGAAGTTAAACACGTTAGTTGTGTGGAAATTGGTGGTGTTATGGTATGTTGTGTGCGAGGCGGGCCCTGCCAGCATGATGCTGGGTGTGTGTGTGTGTGTGTGTGTGGCGGGCGAGGCCGGGTTGGCTCCTAAACCAGCCTGGGTGAGGCGCTCCCAGGCAGGGCCAGCAAGCCAGCCAGCCAGCCAGGCGCTCAGTTAGTGGCGCACCCGCAACCTGTCCGTACCGGCGTGTTGCTCCACACCCACGTCTCCTCCACCTTCCCCCCAGCAGGGACCTGGAATATTCACCTCGTGATACCGTGTCTACGCACTAGCATATTTGTGTGAGTGTCCCCCACAACTTGATGGGAAGTGTTACGCAACCAGTGCTTGATGAGTTGCTCAAGAAAAGCGAGCTAACAAGGAGCGAGGCTAAACTAACCCGGCCAGTCCTGGCTTAAGCGAGATGACCAAGGCTTTGTGCCAACGGGTATATATTTCTGTCATTATCCACTGCTAGCAGTCAGTCAATGTTAAAAATCCTCATGTCATTCATCTGTTGAATTGCAATGTTAAAGCGACTAAAAGCTTGGTCAGGCTGCGGTTGGAAGCTGAGATTCTTCCTAAAATGGCATATTATAGTTCTACACTCGCGACTGACACATGGAACGCAGTGTGTTCCCGGTGAGTAGTGGAAGCAGAAGCAAGCAGAGGATGGCGAGGTGCGTGTAGTGAGAGAGAGGGTGATGATGGAGCAGGTGTGTGTTGACAGGACAGACCTGGCAGTGGGCAGGACGGCCTGTGTGTCGTGTGGGTGTGGTACATCTCCCTGCCTACAGGTGTGCCCACCACTCGCCCTCATGCTGTACTGACTTACCCTCATCACCCTTTGAAGTTAAGAACTCTTCACTGTGTGTGGGTACTCGCCGAGGTGTGCATGCGGGGGTTGAGCTCTGGCTTCTTGGGCCCGCCTCCTGTGTGTGTGTGTGTGTGTGTGTGTGTATATGTGTATATGTGTGTGTATATATATATATATATATATATATATATATATATATATATATATATATATATATATATATATATATATATATAATGTCGTACCTAGTAGCCAGAACGCATTTCTCGGCCTACTATGCAAGGCCCGATTTGCCTAATAAGCCAAGTTTTCATGAATTGTTTTTCTAATACCTAACCTACCTAACCTAACCTATAAAGATAGGTTAGGTAGGGTTGGTTAGGTTCGGTCATTTATCTACGTTAATTTTAACTCCAATAAAAAAATTGACCTCATACATAATGAAATGGGTAGCTTTACCATTTCATAAGAAAAAAATTAGAGAAAATATATTAACTCAACAAAACTTGGCTTATTAGGCAAATCGTGCCTTGCATAGTAGGCTGAGAAGTGCGTTCTGGCTACTAGGTACGACATATATATATATATATATATATATATATATATATATATATATATATATATATATATATATATATATATATATATATATATATAAATTCAAGGATTCGAACCTAGACAGCCAGGGTTTTCCCCTTTTGACTGTCCTAGTACCATAACTACTGCCAGAAAGTACTGAATGGCCCCAAAGACCCGCACAGGTCGGCACAGTTGTCAGCAAGTACTTGAACATGGGGGGGGAGGGGGTCACACTCGGTATAATCTCCTCACAGCTCCTTCACCCCCCACCACACCACACCTCACCGACACTGTCATATCTTCTGGACACGGCCTTCCTCTTATCTTACGGGCTATTCATGCCCGTGCCACTTCTTGGGTGGCTTAATCTTTATCAATCAATCTTCCTCTTATCTCAGTCCTCTTGTTGACCCGTCTTCCTCTTCTCTCAGTTCTCCTCCCTTGTCTTCCTCATCAACCTGCCTCTGGCCTGTCTTCTTCCAACCTTCCTCACCCATCAACCCGCCTCTTGGCCTGTCTTCCTCACCCATCAACCCGCCTCTTGGCCTGTCTTCCTCACCCATCAACCCGCCGCCTGCCTGCACTGCTAACGGCTCCAAATACAATGAAGAGCAGACACGTGGGAGTGTTTATGTTGCTGGCGAGGCGACGGCTATGGAACACCGTTATCTCTTAGGGGTGAAGGAAGGCAGATGCCGGCGCTCCAGTGACTGCGTAATCCTTGTCGGTGGAGGGGAGGAGAGGGGAGCCGGTCGGCCGAGCGGACAGCACGCTGGACTTGTGATCCTGTGGTCCCGGGTTCGATCCCGGGCGCCGGCGAGAAACAATGGGCAGAGTTTCTTTCACCCTATGCCCCTGTTACCTAGCAGTAAAATAGGTACCCGAGTGTTAGTAAGCTGTCACGGGCTGCTTCCTGGGGGTGGAGGCCTGGTCGAGGACCGGACCGCGGGGACACTAAAAGCCCCGAAATCATCTCAAGATAACCTCAAGGGGTGGCTTCGTCCCTCTCGGGGCGGTGTTACACCTCGGTGGATAATGCCTGGTGCAGTACATTGGTCACCAAAATATGATGCGTGTTGAAACAGTCGTCACGGGTGTAATTATTCCCAGTTGTTGTGGTCTTTGAGGGGGTTGCTTGAGGTAATGTGGCAGCCTGGTTTTCCTGTGTGGGGGGGGGATCCAATCTGCTCTTTCGAATTGCATTTTGATGTCAAAATTCTCCAAGGTACAAAATATGATTTACTGTAACTCCCAGCGGCCCCTCGAAGAACTCCGTTTTCTATACGTGGGACCATCGGCTAGATTAGGCTCGGGCAATGTACTGCGTCATTTTTTTCATCCGTTGTGACAAGTGGAGAGGACATGGTGGGTGGCGGCAGTGTTGTGCGCGCGACACATTCCTCCAGCGCGGTGGTGTGTGCGCGTGCGTGCGTTGAGAGTGTAGTAAACAGACGCAATAACGCATGGGAGAAGGTGGACTGGTGCAGGTGTCGGACGCATCATCCCCCCCCCCCCACCACCACCTCCTTGTAGGAGAATCTACGCTTACACGCTTCCCACTCTTGACGGCGGGGGTCCTTGGTCAGTCGCACGTCCTGTGGGCGGGGACGGAGCGGAGGTAGTCGCACGTAATGCGTTCACCAACTGTTATTTTAGCCAAGTAATTTTCATGTTTTGAACTGGTTACATTAATTGTTAATATTCCTGTTAACTCCCCAACCCCTCGAGTGGGCGGCGATAGCAAGGTTAGTGATAACTTGCACTGTCTACAGTAGTCATACTAGGGTTACTTTGGACAAGTTCGTAGCGTAGACTTAGCTTATTGTATTCCTCATATGTTTGTTGTTCACAGTCGATGGTTTCGAGATGGTGTTCAGCTCGATCATTGGTGTTCAGTGAGTCAGGTGTCGGGACCATTGCTAAATAGTGGATGTGTGTGTGGGGGGGCTTGCTGGCCGCTCCAAGCAACAGCTTGTTGGACCAAGCTCTCACAAGTCAAGCCTGGCCCCGGGCCGGCTTTGAGGGTGTAGAAAAACTCCCAGAACCCCATTCAGGCAAGTCCCGCGATGCAACTCTATATCAACATCTGACATTGTAAACATAAATTGCAGGCAACGTCATTAAGCCCCCACAGGTACTCCGGTGACGTCTCTCTGATAGATGAATGTAGTTTTAATAAGAGCTGCCTCGTATGGGCCAATAGGCCTTCAGCAGTTCTTATTCCTACTACTATCCCCTCTACTACATCTTACTTTGCTCCTCACCGCTCTTGCCTATTTATTGTCTGCATCTACTTCATCACAATTACGGGCTATTCATGCCCGTGCCACCTCTTGGGTGGCTTAATCTTTATCAATCTTCATCACAACACGGGAGACATCTCCCGTCACGCAGGGTGCAGTCGCACCTCCACAGATCTACAGTATCATCTTTTGATACTGGTAATGGCTCATAAGGGCCACCACTTACGGGCTATTCATGCCCGTGCCACCTTTTGGATGGCTTAATCTTCATCACAATCAACTCTGGTTTCCCTTCAAAACGCATAAATCTTTCGCCTTTTTCATCACAATCGACTTGAGAATGGTCCAGGACGGACCGAAACGTCGTCGTCCCTTCACCTTCTAGTGTGTGGTCTGGTCAACAAGATAAATGTAGTGTTTATGGTGCCAGTGCCCCTGGAGTGGAGGCCTGCCCCTCGAGCCCGGCCCGGGGTCACGATTGACCTCTGTTAAATTGACTTGTTCCATGTGGCTGTTGCTCGGCATGACCTCGTTGCTGCCCCAGACACATTATCCCAGGTGTCATAGACATAGGAAATTGAATCAGCATTTAAAAATTGAGCGTAGTTTTTATAATTGGAAATGTGTAGAAAATGGCCACACAGGGAACACTAATGTAAACCCTAAATGTGACTAGTAATGTGATCATGTGATCCTTGTACACAGGTGTGGCGTGTTTGTTGAATGTGTGGGGACTTGTGTTGCTGGCTAGTAATACTCGTTGATGCTTAGTACATATGTGCACACTTGTCTGTATGTGTAACTGAGGGAGGTCAGGCAAGGAACGTTTCTGGGTTTATATAAGGAACGTTCCTAAATGATTGAAAGAACGGTACTGAATATATATGTGCAGGGTTTATTGTTTTAGTAATATATATATATATATATATATATATATATATATATATATATATATATATATATATATATATATATATATATATAATATCATGGTTTATCTACAGATGGTTTCAATGTTCCCTTCTTCGGGATGTTTGAAAATTGGATTTAGATTCTCTCACCTCATTTGGACTCTGAAAGCGGTGGTAACGAGGGGATTATGTTAAAGCTGTTGGAAATGGAAAAAAAAGTGTTCTTAGATTGAAATTGAATTGAAATAAGTGTATTGAGATATAAATACACACAAAGGGATGAGGTAGCTCAAGCTATTCTCACCCCCGTTTGCTCTTAGTGAACGCAATTGGCTCGAGGTTGAAATGAAAAGAAATGGCAGGAAGCGAGTCAAATGTAGGTGAAATAAAGATGACGAGCGAGAAGTGTTTAGGTGAGTAAAGGTGGCAGGTCGCGCGAGGCATTTCTTAATCCAGGGGGAAGGGGGGTGGGGCGGCGGCATCTTGAGTGAGAGTTACTGAGATTAGAGAGTGAGAGTCGCGAGCGACATAGTGCAAGGGTTGGTGTGTGTGTGGGGGGGGGGAGGGGGGGGGCGTGATTTGTAGTGTGTGTGATGGGGAGGGGGTGTGCGGTTGTGGGGTAGGGGGTGGGGAGGGGGGGGGGGAAGGAGCTGAAGAGGCGGAAGTCACTTTCATTTTCGTGTATCCGGGCCAGTAGAGCCACCGTAAGCTGCGGGGTTTGTGTTTGTTGCTTGCTTCTCGGCTGTTTTTGT